GGTAGGCTGTCTCAGTGACTTTCTGCAAGTGCTCTGCTGGACAATGTGGCGATCACCATGCGTACTTGTCGGAATTTGATTGGGTTCTGACCCCGACTTGGCATCTGGAACATTCGAGTCTGATTCATGACTTGACTTGGGCCAAGGTTTTCTTTCCTTTGGACTGCCTCCAAAGCTCTGGACTACATGTTTGACTGCTGCTGTCCAATAGATGGCCTTCTCTGTTTCATTTCACATGCAGGTCCGGTATCCATCTTCGAGGCGGTCTCAAGCAGTTCCACACAGGGTTCTGCTGAAGGAAATATTGTCTTAAGCGTGAAAGTCTGCTGCACCCTTGGACAACCGGAGTTGTGTGGGTCATTGACCAGGGCCTCTCTACTCTGGTGGCTCTGGTCTCCATCACCATCTCTTTGGGGTGAGAAGTTGTTCTCGTTCTCAGTTGGGTGGTGGTCAGGACAAATGCAAGCCTGTCAAGTTTGGAGAGGAGCCCTAGGTTCGAGGTCGGCCCAGGGCCGTTGTAAACCAGGGGAATCTCGACTACCCATCAGTGTCCTGGAGATTCTGGTGATCAGGCTATGTCTTGAATGCTGTAAAGAGCTACTTCGTGGGTGCCCGGTCAGAATCCAGTTGGATAACATCACTGAAGTGGCCTATGTCAACCTCCAGGTCTGTGGACAAGCAGGTAGACTTTCTCATTTAACAGACGCTGGATCACGGTGAAGGGCCTCTGGACCCAAATGTCTCATCAAATCTGCCTGCTTTGGTGCTCCCACGGTGTGGATCTTCTGGTGTCCTATCTCTACAGAATTTTGCCAGTATCTCCTATCTCATTTATCCATTTCCTACTCTCAAGCTTCTTCGTAGCCTGCTGTGTAGGATAGAGGCCAAAGGGATTCTGGTGGCTCCCAATTGGCCTTGTCGACCCTGGTAGGATATAGGGTGTGACTGAAAGTAGAAGTGCCCTGGTAGCTGCCTCTGGTCCAAGGACAGAAGGTATTCCTGCAATCTTCCACCCTGCTTTACTGTCGCTGGTCTGACAGCTGGCTATTGGAAGCCTGGTTCTAGGAGACAGTGGATTGTTGGACTTCTTGATACCAAACATGTTGAATGCACGTAGATCTACCTCTCAGAAGATTTCATCGCACTTGGAAGGCTTGCCTTTCACGGTGCAATGCTGCACGTTTGCATCCATGCTCCTTCTAAGTGGCTCAGGTTTGGGCCTTTCTTTGATCTCTGATCAAAAGTTTGCCTTGACTATCATTAAGGACAATGTCTCTGACTCTGATTTTCATGTATTGTCCTTGGCCTCGTACTCCTTGATATGTACCTTCAGCCAAGGGGTTCGACATGTGGCGCCTCCTGTGCCTTTTTTTTGTTTTTGCCATGGGAACTGAACCTGGATCATGCCTCCCTTTGAGAATATTCAGACCAGTAATTTTCACAAATATTAATTTGAAAAACAAATCCAACTATTGGGGATAATAAATTCCTTTATATAGAGAGAGATGTATTTCTATAAATAAAGAATTGTTTACACTACCTGAATGCTAAATGTACAGTTTTAGCGTATGGGCAGCTGTCCGTTTTATATGCAGTGAGGGGAGCATGTGGTGTGTTGAGCATTGTAATTTTGTTGGGGTGTGTGTGTCTGACTGTATTAGGAGTGTCACAAAGTGCCACTTTATTATGTGTCTGAGATGCCATGTTGTACCTCTCTCAGTGCACTGAAGTAAAAGGCTACATATTTGCCTTTTCCTGACTACCTTGCTGTGTGAACATGCCCTGAGGGTGTAATACTACTAGAGGCTGGTTCATGGTAGGGATGTTATGCTTTTGCTATATTTTTAATTGTTTCAAAGAATACATGGACGTAAGAGTATACATTGTACATATTCATTAGTCTGATCACATGACCTGTGTGTTGGAAGAATGTCCTGCGTGGAGAGAGCACATCATTATTGGATAGATTCTAATTGGTTCTTATAGGTTACAAGGTAAACAAATTGGCATTTGTGCTTTTCCTTCTTTTTTTTTTTTTCCTTCAGTATATTTTTATTCAAGTAGAAATAGTAATTGACAAAGTAAAAGCACAACATAGAGTTTTTTTGTGTACATGACAGTTGTTTGTACAAGTAATAGTTCACGTAGGAACTATGTTCAAGAATACAAACTCTACACCCTTTGGTGGCAGTGAGCATCTGGTAATAAATCGATAAAGATTCTGCTTATGGCCTAAGTATCGATGTGAAACAAGAAGAAGTAAAATAAACAGTCGGGAAAAGAGGCAAAGTGGTAAAGGATGGGATTGTGCAAGAAGAGAGGGGCGAAAGGGGTGGGGAGGAGGGGTAGAGTCAGCTGTTGAGAGTACAGGTCAAGATACACTAGAGTGGAGGTTTCTAGAGTTCCTGTAATCCAACAATTGAAATCTTGTGAGAGAGAGTTTGTAATCCACGGTTCCCAAACTCGCTGACGCTTGGACATACTATTCTGGAGCGTAGCTATCAGCTTCTCATTGAGCAAAAGTCCAATGGACTCGGGATTCAACCTCAGACACAGGTATGCGTTTTGAAAGCCAGGCTTTTGCTATAGTCTTTAAGGACATGGTTTATGAGAATAAGTTGGGATTTGGACAGCCTTTATGGTTTCCAAGTGAGGAGGGCTTCAAGTTGATTAATTTGGCAGTGTTCGGCAGAATCCGGTATGTAGAATGCTATACGCTTGTCACCAGAGCCCTGTGAATTGGCACTATTTGAATATGCAGCTAGTGCATTGTTTAAAACCTAATCGATAAATACCAGGGAGTGCCTCAATTTTATGTAGACATGCCAAAACTCAGTCATGGGGCGCTGTCTCCAATAAACAACCATAGACCAAAATATATAATAATGGATCTGACACCTTGTATGGCTAATACAACATTTTGTTTTATTATCTGTATATAAAATATATAGCTTTTCCCCCCACAAGGTACACCTATTTCCCCTACCTCCCGACCAATTTTAACACACCTATTGTATCCTCCAGATTGAAATCCCCCCTGGAAAAAGATGGCTAATACTGAGAGACCCTGCCAAGAGACTATGATGGAAAAAGCATATGGAGTCTAAAGAGTATTGAGTGCCTGCTAATGTTCCGAGAGCCTTCAAAGATCCTCTTGGATAATATAGCAGCTAATGTTAGGCTAGCAAAGACTTAATACGTAGTTTCTATATGACTACTGTGTAAAATGTCTGTGGTAAGTCCAGTTGGTACAATCCCAGGTGTCTTACTAGATATGCTCTACGGTCCTAATGCAGTTGCCTGCCTCGGTATGCCAGCTCAAGGTATAATGTCCATCCATGCAGCTGATGTGACCTAGACTGCTTGGAGACGGATCTGCATAGGAGTATAGTGAGGATCTCACCACTTCTGTTCAGTCCTCTGTAATAACTAGCCCTCCAGAGATGGATAAAATGGGATAAAAGATGGGAAATCGGCATATGGAGTCACCTAATAGCAAGTGCAAGAAGCATCTCTGCAGGGCCAGTTATCACAAAGGACCAAGCGGAAAGGGTGAGATCCTTTCTATACTATATGCACATGTCGCTACACTGGCATATGGATTGGCCATAGAAGGTGTCACATCCGTTATTCTGTATTTTGGTATATAGTGTATTTTTTACAGTCGACTTCAAGCAGAATTAAACCCATAAACACAATTTGCACCTGGAGATCTGGCAGTTAACACAGTTCCTATCTTAAGGTGACACCAGTCTGGATGGAAAAGCAGTGGAGCCACACAGAGAAAGCAGCATTGTCAGTCTGGGTAGAGGGTAGTGTTAGATGCAGTAGCAGATTTAGATGGACCCGATTTTAGCAAATTTGAAGCTGAACTCCAGTTAACACGAAGCTACTAAAGCATCAGTTTTTCTTTTGGGATAAAGGTTTAAGATTAATTAAAGCCAAACTTGATGGTCTGTCTCAACACTCTAACTCCCACTTTGCTGGACAGCTTGATCTATTGAAAAACAAGTGAAAAAATCTAACACAACTAATGCAGCATCACACCTAAGAATTGGTAAGCTGCAATAGATTACATTTTTGTTTTTGGAATTAATACCATAAGTAGCAGGCTAGCATTGAGAGGGGAATGGTAAGGCAAAGTTGCTTAGCAGCATCGCTGAGCTAGAATTATGTTGATAAATTATGCTGCCCTGTTCATTTTACATGTACAAGCTGTACAAAAAAACCCAAAACTTTAATGACACTAATAGATGAACATATATTTTCTTTGAGCTGATCATACTCACAAATTCATCCTTTGAATTCAGTTTCACTTTGGGGACAGTGCTCTGCCAACAGACTGTTACCACACCGTTCTATTTAGATGGCTTACCCTGTAACTGATTTTCTCTTAGAACTTATGTAGCAAGTATGCTCATTTCATTACGCAACATACCGAAAATAAAAAACTGTGTGCGCTATGAGCATAGGGTTTAAAATTCATCTAGAGATTGCTTAATAAATGAGCATCATGGATCATAGCCATTTTACATTTTGTACAGTTGGGGTATTGTTTGTTTGGCAATTACCAAATTTTACTGACTAATAAACAAAAAGGTGCTTATAACTGAATTGGTATCACTTTATACATTTGCAGAAAAAGGGAGTCCCCCACTGTAATCCTAAGTAGGTAAAATCTATTGCATAGTTTTTTTGTTTTTTTTTTAACCTCCCACTCCTCTTATGAGGATAATAATTTAATAATTGATGATTTTGTTTTTAGTCAATCCTTGATCCATACAATTTGTTAGTGATGCTATAATAACATTTTCCCATTGCTAAGAAATTGGGTAGTGTATGTCTGACATCACACTCTGTTTGAAATTCCCATAATGTCCCTAACCCTTCAACAAGTCGTTCATTTATTGCTCCCTCCCTAAGTATTAGTAAGGATGTTAGTCTCAGCCCAGCTCTTTATTGCTGCTCATGTTGCTGTCTGTTGATGCCCTGTGTTGTGTATGTCTGACTCATTGCTGGTAATTGTGGTAACAGGCTCTAAGAAGAAGGTACGCTGGTTTCCCGTTAGGCGACTCTTCACTCAATCCTGTCCCAGCATCAGGATTCCTAGCAGGTTTTTAAGAGAAGGTGGGTGATGATTACCAGCCATGCGCTTAGTTCATCTGTTCCTTTGTCTGGTGTTTAATACCATTCTGTCCTTCTAGCTGCTGTTTTGTGTTCTTGTTTCTAGCTTTTATGTGTCTTATGCTGACTTTGGTTGGCTGTATACCCGTTTTTTATTCTTAGTCGTTTCCAAACATTAAGGCTTTAAAAGACACACGTGTGGTTTCTTTTGTTTTATTTAGTTTTGTTTTATTGCATAGATGTTAAATTTCAGCACGTTAACAAGTACGGTTAGGAAAGTTTACCTGCAGACACAATTCTCCTGTACTATGTTTTATGAATAAGTTGCATTTAAACGATAAATACCTAGTCTACTATAAAAGCATCACTGTTGAAACCTCCAATGAAATATGACAATAACTTCCATTTACCTTTCAAACAGACTTTGAACTATGTGCAGTAGATAAAATGCAGACCTGTGTTGAATATTTCCACAAATAGCACAGACAATAAAAAGCTCTAGTAGGTCTGTCTATCTCAAGAGAAATTGTGCAGACTCCGTGTCTTACTGCATTACTCCCCTGCTCTGTATATTCTTCTTTTCTTCCTGTATAGAGATTTGAAAGTTATCTGTATGATGTAAAGATCTATATTCAGTTTTTGGTTCGCTTCCTTTGTGTGTTTTTTTTTTGTTTTTGTTTTGTTTGGTTTTTTTTTTTTGCTGTCAAAATATATAGTTCTGGAAAGGTTTATAAATCTAGTTTTTATAACATATACTAGCTGCAGGAACACAATTTTAGAATTTCCATAACATTGTTTGATTTTCATTTTGGTTGGGTCATGTTATGGTTAAATCAACATTTGTTCTGCATATATTTTCTCTGTTGGTCTGACTTAAAGTGTTACTAAACCCACAACAGTAAAATCAGCCTGTATATGCAGTAAAGCATGCTTGTTATACTCACTGTGGAACCTAAGGGGCTAATCATCTGCATTGTGTAAAAAGGCTGTTTGATCCTGTCTTCTCTGCCCCTCCTCTTGTTGAAATGACCACCTGATACAGACTGAACCTGTGGTCGCATGTACATGCTCAGTTTGATGTGTATTGCTAGAGAGGGATTTTTTTTTTTTTCTTGGGAGGGTGCATGTGATCAGCACAGGGCCAATCAGTGCTGTCCAGACAGGGTCAGCGGTTTCACATCCTCTTAGAGCAGAAGGAAAACTCCTACAAACTTTAACCAGTGCTCTGCTGAAGTCACAAGACTGCTCTAACTGCTTATGAGAAAAGGTATTTAGCAGTTTATATTTACTAAAATAATTGCATTTCCATGTTGTGTGTACCGTGGGAGATCAGATATAGTGAATGCAGGGTTCTGGGTTAGTATCACTTTAAAGTGAAGCCAAACTTTGTTTTGGATAGAGCAGGGAAGGGTTATAGCCTCTATAGAGTGAGGAAGGATTAGAACTTCTAGCAATGTTTTTATTGCCACTGTGCCTTCCTGTCCTGGCGACAAATGCTCCTATTTCTTGTACAAGGACAGAAAGTGAGTTAATATATACCCAGTGGGGCCACGGTCCAAAATAAATGAAAAATAGAGGTTTTAAAGTGGTAGTAAACTTTTTTTTTTCTTTGTAAATTGTTGACAGACAGGGTATTTATGACGGAAGAGAACCTATCCATCTCTTTGTGTCATAAATGCTTCCTCCTGCCTGTCAGCTGTCATGTACACTAAGCCGCACATGCACAGCTCAGTGGACATTTACAGCCCTGATCTGTGCCTCTGTGATGTGACTCCTGTGCATTCTTGCGGGAGAGACCTCATCGTGGCCTGGCCATTCATGCGACCGAAGCACAGAGCCCAGAAGGAAGACCAAGCAAAGATGGAAGCACCCAGGACCTGCCGGATCGATCAGAGCGCAGTGCTGGAGGGCTTGGTTTGACAGGTAAGTCTGTCATAATGTGCTAATATGCGGTGCATACTAGCACACTATGGCAAAACCCACCTGTGGGGCCCTAAAAAGAAGAAATGAAAGCAGACTTTACTACCACTTCAACTTTTTTTTTTTTTATATTATTTCCACTGGATCCAATTTGAATAAATGGCTAGAGTAAGGCAAATAAAAGCAAACCTCATCCTAGATAATCTGTAAACATTGCAAGGATTTCATCAAACTAGTTTCTACCTTCTGCTGTTCTGTTGAAACAAACTCATGTATTCCAATCACTTCTGAGTGCCAAGTAAGTCCTTGCCTGCTATAGACCCATAATCGGCTACAGTGTAATAAGGCAGAATTTGCCAGGAAAAGCAGGAAATTACATTTTTGTGGCGGTTCTTTACATACATAATGGTGTATATACAGAAAGTTCCTGGGGATGCTACAGGTACAAGAAACCATCATTTTGAGTTTTTCATTACCATTATAGAAAATTTGGTTGTCTGCAGACTAAAAACAATAACTTTTAAATAAGACTGTGTATAAACTACCTTTTAATCAAGCAATTTCTGCTACCGATTTAGCTTTTAACCCTTGCCTATGTTCAGTTTAAACTAATGCCATGACCGCTGCAGCAGGTTTCATATTTCAGGGTGGTTCCTTTCTCTTTCAGAACCCTATGGAGCAGTCATTTGCTTCCAGGAATTAGAGTTCTGTATCCCTATACTGTCTGCATCAATATAAACACACAGTCTAGGATAGCAAGTCATTCCCTTGCTCCTCCCCCCACCACCACCACCCCCCCCCCCTTTTCCAACCTTACGGACTGGTTTGACTGCACTGCCCACGGTTAACTTTTTCCTGTGAAGACTGGAAGTTCAGGGAAACGGCGCTGAGAGAGCAAGAGCCAGCAGCATTGAACATTGTAAACTGAAAGTGTTGGGGTAAGAATTTTATCAAATAGTTCACCGGGGAGTGTTTATTTTATTGTTCACCATGTGCAAGTCTTCTGTCACACCAATTGACTTTGAAATCGTGTGACTTCACTGGAACTTAGATGTCAGTCCATCTTTAGGTGCGACTTGCAAGACACAGATGTCTATGCAAGTCGCACCTGAACTTGAAAAAAGTAGAGCATGCACTACTTTCAAAATCGTTGTGGGACTCCAACGAAATCAGAATCACACCAATATAATTTCTTCCATTGCAGACAATAGGGTGCGATTTGCCATGCGATTTAAAACTATCAAATCGCATGGCAACTTGCACTAGTATGACCGGGCACTTAACAGAAAAAAAACACTGAGGGTTTAACACTACTATACGGCTTGTGTAAGACATTCCTTTTAAGTCCATGATTCATGGTTTTCAGAGTGCATTATTTTACATTGATGGAGGTTATACTCCTAACCGCTGCATGTAGAAGTTTGCAAGTGTACTCTGATATTGAGGTATTGGGAAAACCATCAAGGGTGAAACACCTAAGATGAGATAAAATTCCTTATAGTTCATTATTTCATGGCTTTTAGTGGGGAAGAAAAAGACATACTGCAAACAGATTTGCGCAGATAAATCAGCCTCCTCCATGTCACTCTTAAAGCACAACTCCCAAACTTTTTAATTTTATTCAAAATAATATAGAAGGATTAGAGCCTCAATCAAGGTTTGTATTGCTGTCGGTGTCCCTGTTGGGGTAATTTGCTCTTGCGTCCTGTGATAAAAGGAAATTATGGAAATCTCTCCCTGGGAGATGGAGGGACTGTTGGAGGCTGGGGGAGGGCAAAGAGGAGAATAAAAACACAAAATTTACTGTTCAAAAGAGTAAAGCGCCGTCTATTTCACCTATTTCTCCTCTGTGTCCTCAAAAGAAAGAGAAATAAAATGCTAATTCACACTACACTCAGAATTTGAGAAAAATGTAATTGTTTCATTGTACCTATAGCTGCAGAGGCAAGCGAGGGTTTGTTTTAAAGCTCATTTACTGCTTAAAGCTGAACTTCAGGATCTAGCTACCTTTGCATTTGCAGATCCCTCTCCCTAGGTTCTGTTAACGGACACTGTTTAAATCAGTCCCCCTTTTCTTGCAATCCAAGGTTTTCAGCCTCTGCAATGTCATGATATCCCTTGGAAAATAGTGCTCCTTCCTTGTGCCAGGAGGAGGACTTTGTCTTACTGCAGTTATATCCGTGCGAGGAAAGAAGACAAATTTCCCATTATGCAAAAGGAAATGCAGGAAGTCATGCATCTGGGAGACTGACCTCACTTTCGCCGAATTTCCGCTTTAAGGATATATGCATACCAAATGTCCATGGTCTGGCCACAGGTTGAAGTCAGAGCAATGTGGGCATAAATGCAAATTATGCTGGGAGTCTGGTTTACATGATGCAGTTACAGTGCGCAATTAGATGTCCCTTTTGGAATCTGAAGTGTGTATGTGTTCATACACATACGTTCACTAGCCACGTTATTAGGTACACCTTGCTGGTACCAGGTTGGACCCCCTTTTGACTTCAGAACTGCCTTAATTCATCATGGCCTAGATTCAACAAGGTGTTGGAAACATTCCTTAGAGATTTTGGTCCATATTGACATGATAGCATCACGCAGTTGCTGCAGATATGTCGACTGCACATCCATGATGCAAATCTCCTGTTGCACCACATCCCAATGGTGCTCTATTGGATTGAGATCTGGTGACTAAGGAGGCCACTGGAGTACAGTGAACTCATTGTCATGTTCAAGAAACCAGTTTGAGATGATTTGAGCTTTGTGACATGGCACGTTATCCTGCTGATAGTGGTACACTGTAGTCATAAAGGGATACATATGGTCAGTAACAATACTCAGGTAGGCCGTGGCATTTAAACGATGCTCAATTGGTAGTAAGGGACCCAAAATGTGCCAAGAAAATATCCCCCACACCATTACACCACCACCACCAACCTGAACTGTTGATACAAGGCAGGATGGATCAATGCTTTCATGTTAATGCCAAATTCTGATCCTGCAATCTGATTGTCGCAGCTGAAATCGGAACTCATCAGACCAGGCAACGTTTTTTCCAATCTTCTGTTGTCCAATTTTGGTGAGCCTGTCAGAAATCTATCCTCTGTTTCCTGCTCTTAGCTGAGAGGAGTGGCACCCAGTGTAGTCTTCTGCTGTAGTCCATCTGCTTCAAGGTTCAATGTGTTGTGCATTCAGAGAGTTCAGAAAGTGGTTATTTTGAGTTACTGTTTCCTTTCTATCATCTCGAACCAGTCTGCCCATTCTTCCCTGACCTCTGACATCAACAAGGCATTTTCATCCACAAAACTGCCGCTCCCTGGATATTTTTTTTTTCTTTTTTACTATTCTCTGTAAATTCTAAAGATGGTTGCGTGTGAAAATCCCAGTAGACCAGCAGTTTTTGAAATACTCAGACCAGCCCGTCTGACACCAACAACCATGTCATGTTCAAAGTCACCTAAAACCCCTTTCCTTCCCCCATTTTGATGCTCGGTTTGAACTTCAGAACGTAGTCTTCACTGCGTCTAGATGCTAAAATGCATTGAGTTGATCAGCAATTTGTGTTACCATGCAATTGAACAAGTTCAACTAATAAAGAAGCTGGTGAGTATGTGTGTATACATATACACAGAGGAAGAGTTGTTGAGATCTCTAGCACGTGTGTGTGTGGGTTCCTTATGGCCAAGCTGAAATTCAACCCTGATGGTCTTGGCTCTTAAAACAGAATATATAGTTCTCAGTTAATAGGCTCTCATCTCTAAGCACTTGGAAGTGCATAAATAGTCAGATTTCAAGTTTTACCATGACTGAGTCAGAATTTTCAAAGTCATGGCAGGAAGGGAAATATATCATTAGGGCACACTGATTTGGCAACAAGATCTCCCAAGGAGAAAACTGATGCCGTATCTTTTTGTTTTCTCTCCTCCAGTTTGCAGTCCTGCTGAGTAAGTGCTTATTCGTGCCAGTCACTTAGTCATTCTACCTCCCCACTAAACAAATCGTAAAGACTTGGCACTGAGGTTAGCACTTGAATCTCACCAAGGACACGGAGTGTGTGTTTTGCTTGAGTTTGATTCCACCAGTATTTTTTGAGTTGTGGAACACAAGGCTTAAATTTTGCCTTGCCCTGCTGTGTTCGTGTATGATTGCATGAAGGTTGTAAACATTTTGGGGCAGGTATTGCTTTATCTGTCTGCTTTCTATAAAAACAGAAAATAGAAATTTTCAGGTAGCCTAAGTGGTAATAAGACCTGCTTTTAGTGATCTCTTAAGCTAAAGGTGTGTATTTTTATGTTGGAGTAATAATTATGAATCAAGTCTCTTGGATGCGAAATAATACTTTTGCAATGCAGATTTTTTTTGTAGCAAAACATCTGTTAAAGTATAATCTTTGCTTTCAGTGAAGTGTCCCTAAATAGTCAGAGTGAGGAATTTAGTTACTGTGTAATATCTTTTTTCGTAAACTACTAACTATGATGTAGTTTAAAAATTTAAAAAATATGGCATAGGCTGGAATTTACCTTAAACAAACCGAATTTTGGCTTGCGTAAGTTTTTTGTTAATTTAAGCCTGTAAAACGTTCTGGGTTTCTTTGTCATGCATTGTGTTTTTACATCAAGTATTGTAGCAGTATACAGTATAATACTGGATAAAGAAGCCTATTTTGTGTGTTGAAACCTGTTGGGTAATAAAGGTAATTGATCCAAACTTCTTGCATTCATCAATGGCTACCGTGGTACGAAACTGCAGCTGCAAATCATATCGGATATATTGTGTAAATAAAGTTACACACAAAAGATCCCTTTGTATTATTTGCAGTTCTATTGGATTCCCTTCAGATTTGCCCTATGTGACTACCTCCTTTTTCCTGCAATGCTATTAAAATCATTGTCACTTATTTACTCCCACTCTTTAAAAATCCATAACAAATCAGAAGGGAAGTTCTCCAGAACAAGCATGTTCCATTGATATCTTGGCTCAGTCTGTGTCACTGCTTTGCAGAAGGAACTCTGTCTTTAAAGCTCTAAATGAGCCTTAACTATTGCCCGAGTCCTACCAGAATTTTACTAGGATTTACGCCATTTATATTTTGAAAATATTTAACTGGATTGCTCATTTAGCTAAATTACCCTTCCAAAGGGTCCATCTAACTGCTAGGTACCTGAGACCTGTCATATTTATATGCATTTCAAAGCTAATTTCATGCTGGACAATGATATGCATGTTAGCCGACTGTAAACAGTAGGTATTCAGAGATATGAATACCTAAACAAAATTGTATCTGAGACTAGATTATAAACGTGGTGACATCCCAGCAACCACCCCTTAGACCGGATGATTGGTCAGATGGTCTCTGTCAACACCCTCCTTGATGTGAAGAAAAGTGGAATGCAAACGCTTTTTGACAGCTCTCGTGTACCATCAAGCAACTGAAGATCTGTCAAGTTATGAGAGCCAAATTTAACACCTTGCTCATTGAAAGTAAAGAATACTTACAATTCCCGTTTCAGCAGATTTCAGTCAATTTTTTATTTCTCTATTGCATTGTTTTCTCTCTTTGTAACAAAAGACATGAGACTGTGGCGGAGGGTCACCTTCCAGCAGGACAACAACCCTAAACATACAGCCAGAGCTACAATGGAATGGTTTAGATCAAAGCATATTCATGTGTTAGAATTGCCCAGTCAAAATCCAGACCTAAATTGAGAATCTGTGGCACTTGAAAATTGCTGTTCACAGATGCTCTTCATCCAATCTGACAGAGCTTGAGCTATTTTGCAAAGAAGAATGAGCAAAAATTTCACTTCTAGATGTGCAAAGCTGGTAGAGACATCCCCAAAAAGACTTGACGCTGTAATTGCAGTGAAAGGTGGTTCTACAAAGTATTGACTCGGGGGCTGAATACAAATGTATGTCACACTTTTCAGATATTTTTTTCTAAACAGTTTGGACACCATTTATCATTTTCTTTCCACTTCACAATTATGTGCCACTTTGTGTTGGTCTATCATATAAAATACATTTACATTTTTGGTTGTAATATGACAAAATGTGGAAAATATCAAGAGATATGAATAATTTTTCAAGGCATTGTAGACTGTTAGGAGGCTCAACAGGTGTTTGTAGGACTTTGTGTGGGTGGGGGAAGGGAGGGGGGGCGGCATTGTTGTACTTCATAACAGACTGAAATAGTCCTGGAATATCTAAATGGTTGATTTGACTACTAGAGATTGCATTTTTAATGTAGAACACATATGTTGTATCCTCCTGGTGGCATGTGCCCTGCATGTCTGAGTGCCCTGGGTCTAAGACTGTAACCATGCGCCTTTCTTTATCTTGCCAGCAATGGGCACCCTGTCAGTCTTGTAATTCTCTGGCATGAACCTGTGGTGGCTTTCTGCACCATCCTGCTTCTTCCTCCCAGGACCACATACGGCCACATTAAATCCCTCAATGTGATTTAAGTTGATCATAGGGATGCTGAATTGTAGAGGCCAGAAATACAGTAGTGGAACGTGTATGTTAGTGGATACAGTGGTGGAACAGATGTGAAGGGGGGTTGCAAAGGTGAGAGATGAGGGGTGTGGATGAGATGAGAGGAAATGTTTGGTTGCCGTTGGCAACACCCCACACTAGGCTATCTGGTACAAAGCTTGACCCACAGTTAACCCACTCCTGACAGTACTGAAATTGATGCCCAGCTGGAGTCTAAGGATGTTGGTATGTGGAGTACATGCCTACACTCTTCCTCTTGTTTAAACCCTTCAGTAGAAATGTGAAACCTTTGCATTTTCTGAAGGTGCAGGGTTTGCGACCAATCTGAAGTCTGAAGGTGCTGGGTCTCTGGCAAGTCTGGAGGTGCCAGGTTTGGGGCCAATGTGTGGTGTGAAGGTGCATGCATTTGGGGTAGATCTGAGGTAGAAATGTCAACATCTTTTGTATGTGCACTAGGTAGTCTAATAATAATGGAGTTTAGCTCGCCATTAATATTACAATTATGAGTGCATGCATTGAAAGTCAACTATATCACTACAGCGCGCTATTGTTCACTGGTATGCTGTTAGTCTAATGCTTGTAAAAATGGTGCTAAATGTGGAAAAGGTTGCTGAACCCAGGATGAATATATGCATAAATGCCATTCATTCCCTTTTTTAAAAGTGTTTGTTTCTTATCTAGTCATAGGCATGAGCTTGCCTATGTATTAGCCTTTATTAGTCTTGGGCAGTGATGTACATGGTAAATAATGCATGGAGGAAGCAGAGATATGTAAAGAAAATTATTAAACATAATAATGCAAGAGCAACTGTTATAAAATTCTTCTGTGTCCTAAGCATCTTTTCTACCATCCCATTGAAAAACAAATAAGAAAAAGTTGGGTCTGTTTGAGGCATTGCAGGTTCTTCATGAGAAGATGGTGTATAGTTGTACATCTTGCTCTCCAATGAGGAATACAACAGTCATAGCTCAAGTTGTAAAAGGGGTTTTTTTTTTTTTGCTCTTTCCCAGTTTTACTGCGCTGACTTGTCTACTTTGAGATACAAGCTTGTTTCTGCCATACAGATCTAGTAGACACCAGTCTGCTTTTGGTTTAAGTCGACCTCTGTTTATAAATATATTTGCCATTAGGGGAAAACCATTTGAATTCCAGCTATATTGTTTTTTAAGAATTTGTATCAGCCTCCATAATGAAGACTATTTTGACAATCGTTTATTGAATAAAATAATATTCTACTATAAATATTCTATCCCTCTGATGATACTTTCTTTTTGCTTTATGTCTTCTAGGTCGGAGGTCCCCCCCTGCAAGAAGTGGGCATCGATGTGTGGCAGATAATACTAATTTATATGTGTTTGGTGGGTATAATCCAGACTATGATGAATCGGGTGGTCCAGAAAATGAAGACTACCCTCTCTTTCGAGAACTTTGGCGATACCATTTTGCAACAGGAACATGGCATCAAATGGGTACAGATGGATATATGCCGAGAGAGCTTGCATCTATGTCATGTGAGTATTGGGAGAAATGGTCAGTACATGTTGCCCGCAATACAGCATAAACTGTTCTGTTAGAAGAAGATTACATGCCTCTAACAGTCATGCGCATGTACTAGAGCAATGTATGATTATCCCTCCTCAGCATTTTGTTACTGTCAAAGATGGGGCAGGCACAGATTGCTTCCCATTGAGTCTCTGAAGGGTAAAAAGCCCATATTGTAGCAGCACTCTCAGCGTCACAAACACAGTGTTAATAGATTATAAGGTCTGCCACTGGAAACTTTTATACCAATAGAAAACTATACCAGAATGTCAGTTTAGTTTTTCCTTCTCACATTCTTAGCCCATCATTATAGGTGCTACATTTTTATAGATATATGAACTTATTCAACTAGGCAGTGCAGAGGAGTATGACATGAAATGCAGCAATTCATAGCCACCAGCAAAAATGTCCGTGCCCTGTAGGCAGATCTTCAAATGTTTTTTTTTTTTTCTTTTTTTATTTGAGGTTATTGCTCTTTCTGCTGGCTAACTGATTTAATCATGCTTCTACCATGGACAAATCTGTTATATTAATACAGTATGTCTGGCTATAGAAAGAATGGAGTTATTTGTAATGCCAGATAATTTATAAAAATGTGTCCAGATAAACATTACTGCTTTTGTTTTAAATTTCCAGTGGTTTTACATGGCTACAACCTCCTGGTGTTTGGAGGCACAGGCATCCCATTCGGCGAGAGCAATGGCAATGATGTTCATGTCTGTAATGTGAAGTATAAGAGATGGGAAAAGCTTAACTGCGAAGGAAAGAAACCCAACCGTATTTATGGGCAGGTTTGTGTTGCATGTTGTGTGTGGTGGTTTTTTTTTTTTTTCTTTTAAAAGGAATCAGGCAGGAAACCAAACATCTATGACCCAGCTCATATGGAAGCAGCAACTCCTCAAATTATGCACCACACACTAGTGTTGGGCAAATAAAGCTAATCCTATTCTCTAAGGGCTCGTTCATATCACTTCCGGTGCGGAAATTGCCTTTTTCTCTGTACATTCACTGCATGTGAATACGTTGCTGTTTGCAAATACGCTTAGGTACCATTAATTAAGGGCACCCCCATATATCTAGCAAACACGCATGCGTTTATGGTCACCGAAATGCAAGGTACTGCAGTACCATGTGGTTTGGTGCAATGCAGTTTAAAAAATTGCACCTGATGTACTTTTTTCAGCACGCTGGGCAGCCCGTGTGTTATGGTGTGAACTGGGTCCAAGTGAAGCCCTGGAGCAACTTTGTAGTATGCGAGTCGGGGAGTAGCCACTTCCATTTGATGTTAAACACACAGGTGTGCTTTGCTTTTAGAACTGTCAAAAAAAGCAGTCACAAACTAAATTTTTTTTTTTTTTTTTTTTATTATAGTATTTTAATATTTTCTAATGTTAATGCTTTCCAAAAACTGATGTAAAGAAACCATCATAGTCGTATGATAGTTTTTTGTTTTTTTAGTACTGCACCATCCTCCTGAACTCTGTATATATAAACATTCATTTCAAACAAGTACAGAAAAATAACTGATCTGTCAGAAACCCAGTGAGTTTCTAACACTGGTATTAAGTTGACAACACTGGCTTCCATGCAGCAGACGAAACATTGTCAGATTACTACAGAAAGTCAGGAGCTGGCTTGATTTCTGGAAGATCAGCAAGTATATACCGTATTTTTCGCTCCATAAGACGCACTTTTTTCCCCCAAAAAAAGGGGGGGAAATGTCAGTGCGTCTTATGGAGCGAATATGGAGCGGCCGGTCCGGTATTTCCACTGCCGCCGTGTCAGAATACCGGGCCGGCCGCTCAGCTCTACAGCGGGACCTTATAGAGATGGCTGCTGACCTTTGGGGAGGGGGGGGAGCGGGTACCTGAATTTGACAGATACCCGCTCCCACTTCCGTGGAGTTGTTCTTTCATCTTACCCGTTCCTCTATCCAGCGGCGCGGTCTTCCCGGCTTCTGTAGTGTGGGCATGACAGCCGGGTGCCAAGTGCGCATGCGCAGGAAGCGGTGCTTTTTGTGAATGGTAAGGCGGCACCTGGGACACATGACAGATCCCAGAAGCCGCCGGACCAATCACCAAGCGCAAGTGCTTCTCGCTCATGCGCACTGGGCACCCGGCTGTCATGCCGAGCGCCATTACAGAAGCCGGGAAGACAGCGCGCGGCTGGATAGAGGAACAGGTAAGATGAAAGAACAACTCCGCGGAAGTGGGAGCGAGTACCTGTCAAATTCAGGTACCCGCTCCCCCCCCTCCCCAAGGTCAGGAGTCATCCCTGTGCTGTCCGCAGTCTCTGGTCATCCCTGTGCTGTCCGCAGTCTCTGGTCATCCCTGTACTGTGTCCGCAGTCTCTGGTCATCCCTGTACTGTGTCCGCAGTCTCTGGTCATCTCCTGTACTGTGTCCGCAGTCTCTGGTCATCCCTGTACTGTGTCCGCAGTCTCTGGTCATCTCCTGTACTGTGTCCGCAGTCTCTGGTCATCCCCTATACTGTCCGCAGTCTCTGGTCATCCCCTGTACTGTGTCTGCAGTCTCTGGTCATCCCCTGTACTGTGTCTGCAGTCTCTGGTCATCTCCTGTACTGTGTCTGCAGTCTCTGGTCATCTCCTGTACTGTGTCTGCAGTCTCTGGTCATCTCCTGTACTGTGTCTGCAGTCTCTGGTCATCTCTGTACTGTGTCCGCAGTCTCTGGTCATCTCCTGTACTGTGTCTGCAGTCTCTGGTCATCTCCTGTACTGTGTCTGCAGTCTCTGGTCATCTGCTGTACTGTGTCCGCAGTCTCTGGTCATCCCTGTACTGTGTCCGCAGTCTCTGGTCATCTCCTCTACTGTGTCCGCAGTCTCTGGTCATCTCCTGTACTGTGTCTGCAGTCTCTGGTCATCTCCTGTACTGTGTCCGCAGTCTCTGGTCATCTCCTGTACTGTGTCTGCAGTCTCTGGTCATCTCCTGTACTGTGTCTGCAGTCTCTGATCATCTCCTGTACTGTGTCTGCAGTCTCTGATCATCTCCTGTACTGTGTCTGCAGTCTCTGATCATCTCCTGTACTGTGTCCGCAGTCTCTGATCATCTCCTGTACTATGTCTGTAGTCTCCGGTCATCTCCTGTACTATGTCTGCAGTCTCCGGTCATCTCCTGTACTATGTCTGCAGTCTCCGGTCATCTCCTGTACTATGTCTGCAGTCTCCGGTCATCTCCTGTACTATGTCTGCAGTCTCTGGTCATCTCCTGTACTATGTCCGCAGTCTCTGGTCATCTCCTGTACTATGTCTGCAGTCCATTAGTTCAGAATTTTTTTTTTCCTGTTTTCTGCCTCTAAAACCTAGGTGCGTCTTATGGTCAGGTGCGTCTTATGGAGCGAAAAATACGGTATTTATTTTTTTTAAGAGGCAACACCTAGGGAAATGTGCACATATTGCAGCAAAAAAGTGCATGCATGAGCAAATTTAAAATGAACTATATTGTTCTTGAGGAGTTGTGAAGATGACATTCTCAAGTTGAAGATCATCAAGCTTTTCTCTGCTATAATAATTCTGTACAATATCAGTAAGCCTTATTTGTTAATGTATCTCTCTAAGGCCTCTTTCACACTGATGCTCTGATCAGGTCCGCCTGTCTGTTTTTCAGATGGACCTAATCAGACCATCCAAAGCTCTGTATGGAGCGACTGGTGTCAGTAGATATGTGTCTGCTGACACCCGCCGGCATCTGATCCAATAATGTACACTATGAACAGACGGATGGGGATTAATTTCCCATCCGTTCATCAGATTGCAGTGAATTGTAGCTAGACATAGTGATTGCTGCAACTTTTTATAAAAGAAAAAAAAAAAGCTTTAAGGCACTAGCTTTGCAACACTGAGTATTCTCGCTGAAAGCCGGAGTGATAGATTAAAAATTTCTAGGGCTGCAACTAACGATTATTTTCATAATCTATTAGTTGGTAGATTTTATTATTTCGATTAATCGGATAAAAACCTCAAAAAATGTTTGGTATATTATTTAGGTAATACAGTATGTAAATGTATTCTTGAATATCTATATGCAGTGATAAATATAAATAACCAGCTATATTGTTAGGGAACAAAATGTGTAATCCACTCTGAGAATAACAGACAGAAGAGATGTATATACTATTAGAAGTTTGAATCTGGTACATACCATCAGTCTCAGAGATCAAAATTGGTATTTAAAAAAACAAAATTCAAACCTAAAACACACAGCTTGCAGATTTTCAGACAGGATTGTGATATAATGTTATGCATAACAGACTCCCTTGGCATAGGTAGGTATCTTGATACAGGCAACCTGCGCCTGGTGTCACTTTTATGTTCGAAAATGTTTGTTTTAAGAATGGTCAATTTTCTAATAGTTGGTCAAATCAAAATTTGTTTTCGTCCACAGTGATGGGAAACTTCAAAGGAGCAGAATAGAGAACTTTAATTGTACCTCTGGTGTGTCAGCTTCTCTGTGTTCAGTTGCTGATCTTCCCTGCACTGTGTATATTGGCATGTATGAATGTGTACTGAGCCGTATGTGTGCTGCACTGTATTTTCTGATCTGTAAACCAATAATCATTCTCTATGCATGTTAACTAATTGGCTGACCAACTAATAGATTATAAAAAATAGTTTATTTTCATAATCTATTATAATCGAGTTGATCGATTAGTTGTTTCAGCCCCAAAAATGTCAGAAATCCCATAGAAATTCAATATGTTTTCTTTACAACAAACTACTAACAAAACAGGGAGAAAATCACCCGTGTGTCATCAGTCTAAATATAAAAGGTTACTACAAGCTTGGTACTATACGTAACGGCTGCAGACAATAATGTTGGAAGATTTTGATATTTTAAGGTTTAGGTATATGTTTTATGTGGTATTTATGCATTTCTTTTCTATAACTGCCAAACACATTTCTGTCAAAAAGCAGCTGAAGAGCTACATGTCTTAATAGATATACATGATCGGTATCCAGTGTATCTGTTGTATTCCAGTCTGGTCAATGAGATTCTGCTTAGCAGCACCACTCCTCTTCCATCATTGTGTCATAAAGTGTCTGTCCTGGTATTGCCCAAATGTACCCCCCAAATTTCCACTCCCGAGCATTTCTCCACATTTGTTTTCTTTTAAAATATTTTAAAGAGCTAAAACATTAGAAAATGTGAATGCATCGAGATAATTTACTGGATGTGTTTTGGATTTTTTTTTTTTTGCCCTGACATAGTTTTAAACACAGCTGTAGAGATCAGATACTCTCCCTGTTGCATAGAGAATGTGAGTTGTCGGTCTGAAGTTTGGTTGTTTTTCTTGTTTCTCCAAAAATATGATGGAGATGTAATTATATGCCTGTATTTCTTTGATTGCCTTTTGAGAAGTGTTTTTGATTTAGCAGTGTTTTATATTTCTCTATTTCAGGCAATGGCAATTATTAATGGTTTTCTATATGTATTTGGAGGGACAACTGGCTATATCTACAGTACAGATCTACACAGGCTAGATCTCTCCACCAGAGAATGGGTTCAGCTGAAACCAAACAATCCACCGTGCGACCTGCCAGAAGAAAGGTATTCAGCTGCATATTCTGCGTAAATTGACGGCGCTATATAAGTACCTGTAATAAATAAATATTCTGTGGTGTTGTAAATAAAAATCAAATATTTTTCAGAATGGCAGTGGAGATATAGCTGTTTTATGTGCAAGGTGAGGGGCAGCTGACCATGTCTTTCATTATTTTCATTAGGTATAGACATGAAATTGCACATGATGGTCAAAGGATCTATGTTCTGGGTGGAGGCACATCTTGGACTGCATATTCATTAGACAAGGTAATTTCTACTGTTTACATGTAACTTCAGTCTCTGAATAATGTGTTCACTTCATGCTTTAAGCCGACCATAGATGGAGGAATATTCTTTTCTGCAAACAAGGGTTGAAGGAAAGGAAACTGCTTGATTCTCCTATCAACAGAGTTAGTGTTGATGGGGGAATCCTTCCCGCAGTGCCATTGTGTTCTCAATGTGAGGGGGGGAAGGGCAGGGGGAGCCATCCCCACTTGGAGAACACAGTGATTACTGCTAGCGGCCACAGTAATCACATGAAAAATCTGACAGGCTGGTTGTACTGAAGTGGATTGATCGATCAATCAACTTGCATATATTCAGCCTGCCCATACATGGTTTGAATCCTGGGTGTCCATGCTGAACCAGCCGAGATTCGAACTGTATATGGCTGGCTTTAGCCTCAGATGACATAGCTGCACGTTTTTGCAATCAATATTATTATTATTGCAGTCCATTGAAAACATAGACTGAGGCAAGTGACCCATCCTGTTCACAAATTCCAGCCCCCATGTAGAGGGGTGGCTCCACTGCTGCATAGGATGTGTTATACAGGGTGTGTCAATAAGTTCCACTTCAATGGAACAGACCAACTCAAAATGCCTTTAAATCTTAAAGTGACTTTTATGAGAGACTTGGGAAGCTGCCATTGTATTCCACCTTATGAAAATTGTGGACATTATGGCAGACTTGCCTTTTGGTGTGCCCTCCTCCAGAGCTGACAACTCCTTGATATTTGTTACCATGTCTACTGCTGCTGTTGCCATTTTCTCTGCTGCTTCTTTCAGCCGGGCTCTTCCCTCTTTGGCTATTATTCATCTTCTGCTGCTAAAACATCTATGCATATGTTCTGTTACATCATCCTGGCTCTATATTTGGCATCTATCAAATGCTGGAAGTGTAAACTGCACACACAGGCGCAGTGTACTCAAAAATTAAGTAAATATATCTGCTAAGAGACATAAGCTTCTGCAAACAAAAAAAAACTATTGCCTGTCATTTTTTTTTCATGGTTTTAGCTTCACGTCTAGTATGTTTTTATTTAATCTTGTTCTAGTACCCATCTTACTGACTTAGCCTTTGCTTTTTCTTTCCTCCTTTTTTTTTTTTTTTTCTATTTTTTCTTTCGGTTCATGCCTGCTCCATTCAAAAAAGATCCACGCTTATAACTTTGAAACAAATACCTGGGAGGAAATTCCTACCAAACCACATGAAAATCTAGGTAGGTTTATTTATTTTGTGTCACTGTTCTACAGATGCATGCTGTAATGTAAGAAAACCTTAGAAGAAACATACATGCTTGGTGTTCTGAACCAGACTCTACCTTATTAGGGTAGACTGTTCCGTAGCATTTGCATCTCTTTGACTGTCTATAATGGTCAGTATTTTTTGTGTGTGGTTACTAAACTCTCTGTAGTTTTCACATTAATACAACAGTTTGCCAGCACATTTTTCCAGCTAGTCAGCACAGAAACTTATTGGTTCCAACAACTTGGCCCCAAAACAGAGGATTTTGTTGCCACACAGCCTATCAAGGCACCTCTAAGGCCCCATTCACACCTGAGAATTTTGAAGCTTAATGCTCCAAAACACTCATGGAAAAAAAAAAAAAATCAATGCATCCCTATGGTGACTGTTCATATTTCCAATCCAAAATGCCTGAAGCTCAAAAATGTTTTGGAGGCAAGTGTGGTCCCTAACTCAAAACTAGCAGATTTCCAAGTGTGGGACATGTATAGCAATGCATAATTGAAAGCAGGTTTTTGGTAGGTGGCCTTTTCCCTTCTTAAAGGTACAGCGCCACACCAGAAGCTCAACATATTACTCAAGAACGCTGAGGACCATCTATAGATGTATGCACTACGCCTACCAAACAGCAGTGGCAGCTGCTCTGATCAGTGTAAAACTAGCAAGTAAGGGAAAGGTGCACATTGGAAAAACCAATATATAGCGCAAAACAAAAACTTCCTCGCACTCTTTCCAGCTATGGCACAAAAAAAACAAAACTTTTTCAAAACACGTGGTTAAAAAAAAAAAAAAAGCTTTTTGTGCAGGCATTTGCAAATATTAGTTTCTAAATATGACACCTATACAGTATAGCAATGCATACATTTATAGCAGGCTCACCTGGAGAAGGCCAATTCCTCCTAAATTAACCACTTTTGTCCAGGGCAATAACTCAATTTTTCTTACACGTTTTCAAAATCTGCATGTTTTTGCTAGAAAATGTATTTTAACCCCAAAGAATTACAGTGCCTTGAAACAGTATTAATACCTCCTTGAAATTTTTCACATTTTATCATCTTACAACCATAAATGTAAATGTATTTTATTGGGATTTTATTTGCTAGACCAACACAAAGTGACACATAATTGTGAAGTGGAACAAAAAATGATAAATTTGTTTTTAATTTTTTTTACAAATATCGGAAAGTGTGGCGTGCATTTGTATTCTGCCCCCTTTACACTGATACCCCTAACTAAAATCTAGTGGAACCAATTTCCTTCAGAATTCGCCTAATTAGTAAATAGAGTTCACCTGTGTGTAATGTAATCTAAGTATAAATACAGCTGTTCTGTGAAGCCCTCGGAGGTTTGTTAGAGAACATCATTGAACAAACGGCATTATGAAGGCCAAGGAACACACCAGACAGGTCAGGGATAAAGTTGTGGAGAAGTTTGAAGCATGGGTAGGTTATAAAACAAAAAAAATATATATATATCCCAAACTTTGAACATCTCATGAAGCACTTTGAATTCATCATCCAAAAACTTTGGCCTAAAAGCAAAAGGCTATGTGTGGTGAAAAACTAACACTGCACATCACCCTGAACACACCATCCCCATTGTAAAACATGATGGTGGCAGCACCATGTTGTGGGGATGCTTTTTTTTTTTGTTTGGTTTTTTTTTTTTTTCTCCAGGAGGGACAGGGAAGCTGGCCAGAGTTGATGAGATGATGGATGGAGCCAAATACAGGGTTATCTTAGAAGAAGACCTGCTAGAGTCTGCATAAGATGTGAGATGGGGTAGAGGTTCACCTTCCATCAGGACAACGGCCCTAAACGTACAGCCAGAGCTACCATGGAATGGATTAGATCAAAGCATATTCATGTGTTAAAATGGCCCGTCAAAGTCCCAGACCTAAATCCAATTGAGAATCTGTGGCAAGACTTGAAAATTGCTGTTCACAGACACTCTCAGTCCAGTCTGACAGAGCTTGAATTATTTTCCAAAGAACGGGCAAAGATTTAACTCTCTAGATGTGCAAAGCTGGTATAGACATACTCAAAAGGACTTGCAGCTGTAATTGCAGCGAAAGGTGGTTCTACAAAGTATTGACTCGGGGGGGGGGGGGGGGGGGGGGGGGGGGGGGGGGGGGGGGGGGGGGGGGGGGGGGGGTGGGGTGTTTTGGGGGGGGGGGGGGGGGGGGGGGTGGGGGGGGGGGGGGGGGGGGGGGGGCTGAATACAAATGCACAACACACTTTTGACATTTTTTTGTAAATAATTTTGAAAACCTATTTATCATTTTCCTTCCACTTCCACTGTGGTCTATCACATAAAATCCCAATAAAATACATTTGTTTTTGGTTGTAACATGACAAAATGTGGAAAATTTCAAGAGGTATGAATACTTTTCAAGGCACTTTATATAACTTCTGAAAGCTGAGGCCCTGTAGTATAAAACGGTAACGGTTTTTTATGTTGCACAATATTTGCACAACTACACTAAAATGAATTGTAGTACACACAGACACCAATATAATACCCAGTTTTTGATAAAATATAGATGGGGTTGTGTTAAGTAAATGGATACCGAAGATGTCAAGCCTTTGTGTGCCCCTAAAATGGTAAAAAACTATAGTACCCAAAATTGCCCTCAGAAGACGCTTTAAAGGGTTATGAATTGAGAGTAAACTGTGAACATTGGCCATAGATTCATTGCTTTCACTCTGATGTTTGCGGTGATACTTCATGTGTGGCACAATTACTGTTTACATACACATGCATGCCCTACGAGCTCACTTGCATGCGTGCACAGAGCAACAGGGTTGCTTTTAAATTGAGAAAAACATGGAGGCTGACATTGCTGATTATCCCTTTCAAAAATGCTTGTTGTCTGGCTGTCATACCGACGCGTTTTAGTACTTTTAAGTCAGTAAAATGGGGCAAGTATGCAGGTAAGAACTTCCGACTCTCCTAACCTGCATACTTGTTTTCAGGTGTGTGACTCAAAGTTGAAGCAAGGAGGTCAGCATAGCATTTCTCTTGCGTTCATTGAGGGACACAGTACATCTTCATTCTTGACTTAGGTTATTGTGTCACCTGCCATAGTAGGACGCTATCTGCGATAGGCAGCAGAGTGTTTTTCTGCCTAGTGTAGGAGTAAGGACCTAGCTTTTTCTGTGAATATCTTTAATCAACAGCCAGGCTGGGGAACAAGCTGTAAAATCTAGATCCAGTAGTCACCCCAGCCTGGCCATCAAGCTCATGCAGACCCCTTGCTATGTGTGGGGTCTGAGCAGGCCCAGAGCAGCTGTCGAAGTAAATATCTCATGGGGACGCATGTGACTGGGGCACCTGGTGTCTGTGTCGCTGTATTTCCCTGGTTGGTCTCTCTCGGGATTGTTACCCGCTATCCCTTCTACACTGGTAAGTAGGTGCCCCAAACCCCCCTTCCCCCTCCATTCTCAGGTGCAGTGGCAGGCTGTGGGTACTCCCTGGGGTTGTGGGCTCTGTGGGTTCTCCTTTTCCTTCAGGCCTGTGCTGCCTGTGTCCAGTCTTTACCCCTACCTTCTCCTTACCCCCAGCTGCAGTGTTCTGGCCTGAGCAAGCGGGGCTGCAGCCCTAGATTTGCTTTCCTGGTGCATGGGTTTGGTCGGGAGGTGCAGGGTTCCCCTATCTCTCTGGTGGCACCACCATGTGCTACGCAGGTGCCCAGGGGCCAGTTTTGTGTATCCATGGCAACTATTTTGGCAGGGCCAATGTTTCTTGTGGCGGCCAGTTTGCATGGGCTTAATTGGTTACAATGTCGGTGAGGACTGGCTTTGGTGGCTATTTTAAGTGGAACCTTCCTCTGTACAAATTTTTTGCCTGAGCTTGCTCGCGGGTGGCCATTTTGGCAATGACTTAGCTGGTGGCCATTTTGGTGGGGATTGTGCCGGTGGCCATGTTTGGTGATGGCCATGAAGCAGCCCTCTAGTCTAGCCATTTGGCTTAGGACCAGCTGGGCACACTCCTCCACAAGGCCTTCCCTGAACAAGTAGTGACATGGCACACAGCACTGCATCCCAGGTGGCCTTGATTCTGCTGGTGGTGAGCCCTGCTGGGGCCCTCCTGGGGCCCTCCTTCCACTGCGGCAGCCTGGTTCTATCCACTCTATAAGCATTTTGTGTAGGACAGGGGTTGTCCCTGCACATGGAGTCTCAGGAGCATGTATCTCCTGCAGATCCCCTCATGGAGGCGCAAGGTCCTCTATTCCCTTAAATGCTCTGTCGGTGGTCCTTGAGTCACTTTTGTTCCAGGTGGAAGTGGCGGTCGAGCGCAAGATGTGTAAAAATATGCCCTCAGCCAACTCCTTCCTCCTCAAATAATTCTGAACCAGAGCTTGGCTTTGCTGCAGTGGACTCAGAGGATGTAGCCCCAAATCCCTCTGACATTAAGGGCGATTCCTCTGCCGCCATTGCTGTGCAAAAAAGGCACTGGTGGCCATACTCATTACCTCTGCATGGGAACCTTTTTAAAAAAAAAAAAAAAAACTTGGCATTCAGGGGCTGCCGGGGAGGTGGCTGTCCCCTTTGGTATTCACAAGCTGGCATTTTCCACTAACGTTTTTCCTTTCCCAGCCTACTTTGATTAATTATAGTTACAAACATTGGGAACGTCCTTTTTTTTTAAATTCCAAAACTCTTTTCTGTAACCCCTTTAAGGAGGCCCTTCTGAAGGAGGCCCCACCCAGGGCAGAAGGCGGAATTGGCCACCCGCTCTGTTTATGGTCGCTGGGTCGCCCAGTTTTGGCCATTGCCCTTGTATCTCAGACACTCATCAGAGGAGCTAAGCTCTCGCGCCAAGGTCTGTGTAAGAAACAGGCCCCTCGGTCTACATAGAATGGGCGGCCCAACTCCTTCAGGGCCTCCAAGTATGTGTGAGTGATATCCGTGGATGCGGCTCCACTGCTTTCAAAGTTTTTTGTTTTCGGTTGTGGTTCTCAGAGGTCTCTGGCTTTATTGTTGGTCTGTGGACCAGACATCCAAGAAGGCATTGTCCGAGTTAACCTTCCAGGGTGAGCGACTCCTTGTTGCCACCCTGGAAAACCATAATCATGAACCTTACAGGAGGGAAAAGTATCTTTTCTTCTGCAGTCAAGGAAAGGGAAGGAGCCGTGGCACAAGCAGGAGCCATCTTTCTCTGCAAAGAAGTGACTTTTTCATTATCCTAGCCCGTAAAGGACCCCATGGATGGCACAAAGTGCTCCTGGCCTTACAGGTCTGCTATGCCCATGGACAAGCCCTCCACAGCATGATGGTTTGCCCACATCCATCTCCATCGGGGGGGGGGGGGGTGGGGAGAGTCGTCTTTGATGGTTTGTGGAACTGCGGATTTCTATGCTTTATGACAAATGGGTCCACAAACTGGTTTTGTCATGCTACAAAATAGTTTTCGCTATTTGCCTGGCAACTTCTTTTCTTCCAGTCTTCATCTCTCCGTCTCGCCTACAGGCTCTTTATGGTGTGGTGCAGCGTATGCTTCTCCTGGGCATGATTGCCGGTTCTGGACCTGGAAATGTTTCATGGGTTTTACTCCAACCTTTTTATGATTCTGAAGATAGATGCCCAACTGCTTTCAGACCTCATGACACTGAAATGCTTTGTGAACATGCAGAAGTTCAAAATGGTATCCATCCATTCTGTGGTGACTTCACTCCAACAGGGGCCTGGCCTCCTTAAATATCAAGGACGCATACATATACATTTCATCAGTGCTGAGCACTATAGAAACCAAAAACAACCAAAGTTCTGGCTGAGACAGCAAGGAATTGCCATGATAGGCCATCTGCACAACCTCCTCCTATGAGCAGAGTCTCATTCGGCACTGATGTACATTGTGGTGCTCTCTATGCGTACTCTGCAGGAGTTCGACTGGGTTTTGAACTTCAAGAGGTTCAACCTGTCCCCCAACCAGGTGTCTGGAATACCTAGGTCTGATTCTGAACTTGGCGCTGGCCAAGGTGTTTCTTCCTCCAAACTTTGAAAACTACAGACTGCGGTTAGTCTGCTGCTGTCCCGTTGGTGGTTTTCTCTGCAGTTCTGCATACAGGTTTTGAGTCTCATGGTATCCACCTTTTGAAACAGTCCCATAGTTTCATTTGAGAGTTCTGCATAGGGAAATCCTGTGCAAATGGGACAGATCTGTGTACCTTAACAGACCGATCTGCATGAGATGACTGGTCGGGGCCTCTCAAGGGCTTGCCTTGAGTACCATTAAGGGTCAGGTTTCTGCCTTTTCTTCGAGGTGATTGTAGCCGTATTAGTGCACTTGCGACAACAATGTCCTCTGACTATGCATTCCTCAATTCATACTTTTTCAGCATGTAGCTCCTTCAGTTCAATCTCTAGTGCCACTGTGGGACCTGAACTTCCTTCTGCCAGTTCTTCATAAGCCCCCCTTTGACAATATTAGGGATCTTCCCTTGGTAACACTATCCTAGAAGGTTGCCTTTTAAGTTATCACTTCCACATACCACGTGTCAGAGCTGAGGGCCTTGTCCTGTAAGTCTCCCTATTTGGTTTTACTTGGGGATATGGTCCGCATCCATCCTTCCTTCTGAAGGTGGTTTCCAATTCTTATTTGAATGAGGCCATTGTCCTTCCTTCCCTTTGTCCGTACCCTTCAGATCCTAAAGGAGGTTTGCGCTGCAGTCTTTGGATGTGGTTTGGGTTGCTCGTGTGTATCTGTCTGCTATAGTCTCCTTCTGGAGGTCAGTTCTCTTTTTGTGATTATGGATGGTCCATATAAAGTCTTGGCAGCGTCCTCTGTCGCTATTTCACCAAACATAAGGCAAACTGTTGTCCAGATCTGGCTCCTCTCTTCCCCTTTATGGCACACTCCACCAGGGCAGTTAGTGGCTTTTGGGCCTTCTACCATTAGGCGTCTGTGTCTCAAGTTTGAAAGGCGGATACATGGTAAAGGCGTGCACAGATTACTGCGTTTTAAAAAGTTGATGTCTGGACATCTTCGGATGCGTGTTTTGGCCTCAAGGTTTTGCAGGCGGCTGTTCAAAAGTTTCTTCTGGGGGGTTCTTGGGTGTGTTTTTTGTGTATTTTCTCTGGTTGCCCACCCCTCTAAGAGGCACTGCTTTGGAACATCTCTGTGGTCGAGGATGCAGCTGTGTCCTTCAATGAACACAAGAGAAAACTGTAAAATCCCTTTCTCAAAGTAGATTGAAGGACACAGCACTCACCCCTCTAATGTGATAAGGGCGTTTGACCATCAGTTAAGACTGCCCATAGGTGGTGCTCTGTTCATATTTTCTGCCTAGAGTTCCTCTCCTGAAGGTAACACTACAACCATGCAGACAAGAATGAAGATGAGCTGCGTCCTTCAATGAACTCAGAAAAAGGAATTTTATGGTAACAAAAAGTCATTTTTCAGAAAGACATACGTAGCAGCAGCTGCTAATGACAGGTATCCTTTTTATTTCTTAATGCTAAGTCAACTTTAATGTTCCAAAGGAGTTCTAAATACTGTTTGCTGTTTCTTCAGGTTTTCCAGCTGCCAGAAGATGTCATAGTTGTGTCCAAATAAAAAATGGTGAGTTTTTGGTTTTACACACAGGTCTGTAATTACAGGGAGGCAATCAGACCAACCTGCAAGTAATCAGCTTTATAAAGAACCTGTTCTCAACAAAAACATTTTGCCTTATGATTATATTTACAATTGCCATGTTTTATGCATTCTATTTACCTGTAAAAATGCTCCTTTCTGTAGAAGCTCATAAGCCCTAAAACTGCTGCTGGGTGCTGCAATCTTGGATGTGATGCCAGTAGCCCCAGCAGACTCAGCGATGTCACTCGAGTGACATTCTCTGTCATATTTTCTCTTCACTGCTTCCTTGGAAGCTACATAAAACATTGTGGCGAGGAGCTGGGCCAACACAGTCACACTCAGAGGAGGAGGGGTCTGTAATGCACAAGGAAAGTAGGGGGGTTGTGCTAAGGAAATGGCCTCCTCCTGAGGAAGTCACATTTTTTTGCAAGCAGATTGCAATTGAATACAAAAACTTGAAGGGTAAGTGCATTCACACAATTGAAATTCTGTATAAACAATATCTGTGTACTATCTTGCCAGCATCAACTGTATATCACTCTCCGAAGCATAAATGCATGAAATTATGTGCAGTGTTAGTACATCCAACTGACAGAACCAAATGTGATTTTTATGCGAATTCTCATAAAACTCAGTGAATAAACATAGATTTATGCAAACATAAAAAGTGCATAGAGTGAGGAAGGATTAGGACTTCTGGGAGGGTTTTGTCTGTGTCCCTATTGGGGGCATTTCCCTCCTATAATAGCGCTAGTGGGACTGGAAATGGGGGCTTATCACCTATATGAGACACAATTGGCAATACAAATCAGTGTGTGTATGCATGTCACTATATACAGGTCCAGTGAGATCATCACAATCTGAATATGTGTGTCTTCTTGGCTGCAGTGGATGACTGTACAACCATGAGAGAATGTGATCTTTATCTTGCTGCCATGCTTTAGTGCTGGATCTAGTTACACTGCAAACTCAAACAATGCAATTCGGGCTACCACAACCTGACCCTTTGGTCTCATGAAGAAATGCTTTTTTACCACATTGGTGGTAGTTAGAATTTCTTTGGGTGGTGGTGGGGGGGGGCGGTGTTACACTGCCAGTTTACTCTGAAATCCAGCTAATGTTTGTTTAACTGTCTTCTCCCTTTTTAGAAGTGTTTATTTGTGGTGGTTACAATGGAGAAGTTATCTTGGGGGATCTGTGGAAGCTAAACTTGCTGACATTTCAGTGGACAAAGCTTCCTGCTATGATGCCTGAGCCAGCATACTTCCACTGTGCAGCAGTTACCCCGGTATGTCTCTCAATGTCAGTTTTTATTTTCTACTGATTGCCTAATGTGTCATATGACCGTATCCAGCAGAAGTACTTTTGTAGTAACCTGTACCATAGCTTTTGTATGTCACTTGTGTTTTTCTGTTCTAGGCTGGCTGTATGTATATCCATGGAGGTGTAGTTAATATCCAACAAAACAAGCGGACTGGATCCTTGTTTAAAATCTGGCTGGTAGTCCCCAGCCTCTTAGAACTGTGTTGGGAGAACTTGCTGAAATATTTTCCCCAGCTTGCTCACCTTCCCACCAGTCAGCTTCTACAGCTTGGACTGTCACAGGGACTTATTGAGAGGTTAAAATAAAGAAGGCACATGCTTCTCTGTTCTGCTTATGGAGTTCGGTGATGAATTTGGGTCTCTCCCCAGAAGTCCGCTGCTAACAAGATCTGGATGCCTGGACCTTACTCAATATCTGTGGCCTTCGATCCTTTTCACGTTTTAACTAGACCAGCGCATAAACCAGTCATTTTAAGTTGCTCGCCTTTACTGGCCGTCATGACTTTTTATTCAACGAGAACTTAGACTGCTGATACTTTAACTTGTACTTTTAAATATTTAACTTATTTTCCTTTGTTTTACATGGATGCTACTCTTACCATCCTGCTTTGGCCTTGATCCTTGTAAACGACATGCTCATATCAATCTCACTGTGGCTGCATAGCATAAGGACCGTGCGTCATGGCTGCTTCAGCAGACTGACAACATGCTTCATGCTGCAGGTGTGCAATTCATGCCAAATCATCACTATAGTGTTCATTCAGACAGTCAAACCCAAGCCTGGGATTCATTGGTCATGTTAGTAAAAAAAAAAAAATTTAAATACGATCTCTGTGTGCCAGATTGTGGTACTGGTTGTATTTTTGGCTACACCAGAAGACTGAATGTACAAGATGATACTTGGAGAATGGAAATTGTAATTTTTTGGTCATCTGGTTCTGCAGAAATGTCATGCTCATGCTGCCTATTATCATTTCATAAATGGCACTACAGATTGTCAGGCCATCTACACCACTGGCTAAAGCTGCTTCGGGAAACAAGAAAGGTCTGTAACGGACTCAACAACTGCTTCTTACTTGGTTCTTCTAGAACATTCAGAAGATCAGAATGACTTCCCAATTCATCTGTTGGTGTATTAAAACTGTGTGAACATGGGTCATGGACATCTTTGTTCCATTTCTCCTTTTATGTTTTTGCCTTCAGGAAATCATGCTGTAATGCTAGTCAACCCTTCTGCCCAACTGCTGGACAAATGTAAACGTGAGTTAGGACAGGTATGTCTAGCATTCTACAGTATTGTAGCTTTGTGGACATGGTGCTTGTGATCCTATTGCAGGCAGATGGTTTTAGATCATTTGCTACTATCTCTGTTCCACAACTTTTGCAAATAGAGGTGAGGTTGGGTAATCCTACAAACAGTAACCTGTCCTCATCCACTACCAATTTTCAACCTGAATGCTATCATGGTTGTTTTTGTTTTTCTGCAATGTCACTGTCTGTCTGCTTTTCCCCCACATAACATGGAGACAAAATTTAGAACTGCTTTAAAAACTTAAAAAAAAAAAAGGTGACTGACTGTACCCGTGACATGGCTTTTTATTACTACCACCAGCAAATAGTATTTTTTAAAAAATTTGTTTGCTTGAATGTAAATGCTTCACAATCGATAAATGAACTACTGTTGTACTGTTTTCATAATTGTACATCTTGCAGTACTTCATCGTTTTAATGATTGTTTTTTACAATAGACACTGCAGTGTAATTCATTTAAAAATGCCATTGTCCTCACATACAGAGATATTTAGAGCAACGTATGGGTTGTATTCAGGAGGGTGCCAGGGTTTGAACTAATTTATTACCATTGAAACTTACCTTGTTTATACAGAACGCAAATTCACAGCCGGACATGTCACAGTATGTGCTGTTAGTGGTTTAAGCAGTTTACTACCTACTTTTGTGGGGGGGTTGTCTTTTTTTTGTTTTTCCTTTACACATTGTTCTCTTTTGTTGCATTTCATGTAGTTTTGTTTTTGAAAAGTTTTCATATGTTAGTAGTGCCTTTTTAAATTTAGCTTTACAGAGGTGTGCAATCCATTACTGCAGCAACTCCTAACAAGGAATTCAAGCCTTAGCAATAAGAGACCAAATATAGATTTGCCTCTGCTTCCAGTTTCCTGTGATCACTTGGAGAACAGGAAATCAAATCTGGCTAAATTGTATGGTTTTCAATGCACTATATAGAAAGGCTCTTTTAAAAAAAATACCATTAAAACAATAAATTGTTCCATTGCATGGTTTAAAATAATTTGGCACCAAAATGATGAATGCTTCCGAGGAAGCCTAGCATTTTTTTCTTAGTGGTGTTGGCAATCCCTCAGTGCTGGCAACTGAGTTTGGGATCAATCATGCATGCTGTTTGTTGACATTTCAGTATTTGTACTGGTATCTTGCCTTTTCTTTTTTTTTTTTTTTTTTTTTGCCTTTTTTTTTCCCCCACATGATCTGGCTCCTTTTTGTCATTGCTGCTTAACCTGGAGATGCTGACGTTGAGTACTGTAACTCACTGCCTTCTACTATGTTACGGTCAGGTTCTTTTTGTAACAAGTGAAACTTTTCCCTTAGGTGGACATTTTTTTCAAACTTTGTGTCTATATGTGTGTATATATAATTTTTTTTTTAACTTAATCAACTTGACTATGCTGCCTTAACCCACTGCATACCTGTGTCCAGTATCAAAGGAGCCACACCATAGCAAAGAGGAAGGAAAAAAAAACCTCATACCCATGGCAAATGGTTGGTATGAATACCTTAGCAAGGAAAGGGTTTAAATCTACATCACCCTTTCAAAGAACTTAAATATCGTGTTAACTTCAGCATGATCTGTATGTGATGAGCTTTGTTAAGTGTGTTTTTAGCTTTTAAAACTCGTACTTCTTACTGTAAAAAATTAAAGTGCAATATTTCGCATTCTGTCCATGCATGATAAATGCATTTTATGATTTTTACATGTCATTTTTGCTTTTTTTGGGTCTGAATTGAATTAAAAAAAATTAAACCATTGTTTTTGTTCTTTTTTTTTTCCTTTCTTTAGTTTTTTTTTTTTTTTTTTTAATAGTTTAGTAAACCATCTTGAATTCTACGTAAAAATCAAACTTCCCATAAGTATTTGCTTAACCCCTTCATGCCTAAGGGTAAAACAAATGTAAATGCCTAAGCACAATTTTGCAACTTTGACATGTGTTAGTAAAACTGTACATATCATCACAACTACTTTGTACATACAGGTCAATTATATATTGTTTTTTTCAGGACAAATTGGGCTTTAATTTTGTGGTAAATGGTAATGGATATCTCCTGATTTTTTTTTTTTATTATCAAAGGAAAACTGGCCCAAAATAGTAAAAAAAAAAAAATCTTTTTTTTTTTCATTTAGCTGTGTGTTTCTTGTTACTACCATAACCTACCACCAAAGAACAACCCAAAATAAATTCTCCAGCTCTTGACGATCACAGTGATACCATATGTGTGTTATTTGTTGTTTGTACCCGTAGTACAACCCAGAACAATAGTGCACATTTTGTTTTAGTTTTTGTTTTTTTACCTAAAACACACTGACACCAAATTTTTTTTAAATCCTGACCTTTGACCCTGACCCAAACACTAACCCTGACACTGAACTAGATCAAACCTTGATCTCGGTATTTTTTATTTTATTTTTTAATATTTATTATTTTTTTTAATACAAACATTTTTCTTTTCCCTCTATGCCAGGAGTTACAATGTATCTCTCCTCCATTCACAGAGAAAAAAAAAAAAAGGGACGGGCTGTACAGTGACTGATCACTGTGATAGCCAATCAGAGGCTATCACAGCAATCATGTGACCCGGAATCGGGAGTCCCGGGTCCCGACTGTGACACCACGGTCTTTGTGCTGGGAGCGTGCCACACGGCGCGCTCCCAATACAAAGACAGGTATGCAAATATGCGGCCCCGAGGAAAAAAGCCCTGTTCTGTGAGGCTGCATATTTGTGTTACGTCGGCATCAAGGGGTTAAAGTATGACAGAGTAAACTTAGAGGAGAAATCTTGCAAGATTGAAGCTAGTTCTGGTGACTGGGGGGGGGTCCAAATTAGTGTATATTATTTAGTCTGTATGAAGGTTTATAGAGTCTACAAACTAGAGTATATACAGTGTATATAAACAATGATCAGTTCTGATCTCATTTCCCGATACCCTAAAAATGCCAGGACAGTACATATACCCCCTAAATGACCCCGTTTTGGAAAGTAGACCGTCCAAGGTATTTAGTAAGATGCATGGTAAGTTGTAAATTTTTTGTCACAATTTTTTGGAAAAATGAAGAAATATAACAATTTTTTTAAATTTTCTTCCACAATTTTTTTTTATTTTACACACTGTCACCAGTGTAGTACATAATCATCATATGACCAATTTGTTGGTGATCGGGGATGCTGTTTAGTGACTGTGTGTGTGTGGGGGGGGAGAGTTTGTATTCAAGTTTAAACTTTTTGATTTTTTTTTTTTCCTTTCATCAGAGCAGTTTAGTGTCACCATTGTGACACTGCACCACTCTGGTGGGGAGGAGGGGGGAGACAGGGCAGCCATGAATGGCTTAATATTCATGAACAGCTTGCTTAGGGTTGTAATCAGTGATTGGCTACAGCTAATCACATGGTACTGGTAACCAGGTACTATGTGATTGCTGTGGGACAATCACAGATTACAATCGTAAGCAAACTGTGAATGAATGGAAATCCATTTATGAGATTGTTTGCATTGCCTATAGTGATCACATGATGACAATCATGATGCCCAGTACCTGTTTACTGGCACGCTGTGTGCCCCTGCCCGTGCTAACCTGCCACAGTAAATGCACTGTGGCCAGCTGGCAACATGGTTAAAGTATATTTAATGCTAAGGCATTTTTTTTTTATCATAGAGTAGAGAATAGTAAAACCAGGTCATCATTTTTTATTTTTTTTTTGCCATCTGTGGTCCATTTTGGGAAGTTTTCCGTCACTTCTGTTCTATAGACACTGGAATTGAGAGGAAACCTCTCAGTTGTCAGCAGAACAGGTGTCCTCACTGGAAGACCTACCTGAGTACTCCTGATTTGGTGACCACTTACAGAAAGTCTAACCCCTAACCACGCTATCCAAATCTAAAAAAAAAAAAAAGTTTTGGCTTTTAGAGAATACCAAGTTTGTGACTGAGATTATTCAGTTTCATAAAGAGAGTAGTTATGACCATAATGGGTGCAACAAAGGCCAAGTTCTGTTTTGCA